TGTATAGCAGACGCAGTAGCCATCTGACATAAAGAAATGCATGTTGGCCTTGTAGCATGCCACCGCATATCTCTATCTCTCCAGGGTTAGGCCTAAACTTCTCTTCCTTAATATTGGCTATATACACTGCTCAAAAAAATAATGGGAACACTTAAACAACACAATGTAACTCCAAGTCAATCACACTTCTGTGAAATCAAACTGTCCACTTAGGAAGCAACACTGATTGACAATAAATTTCACATGCTGTTGTGCAAATGGAATAGACAACAGGTGGAAATTATAGGCAATTAGCAAGACACCCCCAATAAAAGACTGGTTTTGCAGGTGGTGACCACAGACCTCTTCTCAGTTCCTATGCATCCTGGCTGATATTTTGGTCACTTTTGAATGCTGGCGGTGATTTCACTCTAGTGGTAGCATGAGACGGAGTCTACAACTCACACAAGTGGCTCAGGTAGTGCAGCTCATCCAGAATGGCACATCAATGCGAGCTGTTGGAAGAAGGTTTGCTGTGTCTGTCAGCGTAGTGTCCAGAGCATGGAGGCGCTACCAGGAGACAGGCCAGTACATCAGGAGACGTGGAGGAGGCCGTAGGAGGGCAACAACCCAGCAGCAGGACTGCTACCTCCGCCTTTGTGCAAGGAGGAGCAGGAGGAGCACTGCCAGAGCCCTGCAAGATGACCTCCAGCAGGCCACAAATGTGCATGTGTCTGCTCAAACGGTCAGAAACAGACTCCATGAGGGTGGTATGAGGGCCTGACGTCCACAGGTGGGGGTTGTGCTTACAGCCCAACACCGTGCAGGACGTTTGGCATTTGCCAGAGAACACCAAGATTGGCAAATTCGCCACTGGCGCCATGTGCTCTTCACAGATGAAAGCAGGTTCACACTGAGCACGTGACAGAGTCTGGAGACGCCGTTGAGAATGTTCTGCTACCTGCAACATCCTCCAGCATGACCGGTTTGGTGGTGGGTCAGTCATGGTGTGGGGTGGCATTTCTTTGGGGGGCCGCACAGCCCTCCATGTGCTCGCCAGAGGTAGCCTGACTGCCATTAGGTACCGAGATGAGATCCTCAGACCCCTTGTGAGACCATATGCTGGTGCGGTTGGCCCTGGGTTCCTCCTAATGCAAGACAATGCTAGACCTCATGTGGCTGGAGTGTGTCAGCAGTTCCTGCAAGAGGAAGGCATTGATGCTATGGACTGGCCCGCCCGTTCCCCAGACCTGAATCCAATTGAGCACATCTGGGACATCATGTCTCGCTCCATCCACCAACGCCACGTTGCACCACAGACTGTCCAGGAGTTGGCGGATGCTTTAGTCCAGGTCTGGGAGGAGATACCTCAGGAGACCATCCGCCACCTCATCAGGAGCATGCCCAGGCGTTGTAGGGAGGTCATACAGGCACGTGGAGGCCACACACACTACTGAGCCTCATTTTGACTTGTTTTAAGGACATTACATCAAAGTTGGATCAGCCTGTAGTGTGGTTTTCACTTTAATTTTGAGGGTGACTCCAAATCCAGACCTCCATGGGTTGATAAATTTGATTTCCATTGATAATTTTTGTGTGATTTTGTTGTCAGCACATTCAACTATGTAAATAAAAAAGTATTTAATAAGATTATTTCATTCATTCAGATCTAGGATGTGTTATTTTATTGTTCCCTTTATTTTTTTGAGCAGTGTATATTTATTAAAATATGAATATCATACAGTGGACACCAGTGGAAGCTGTTGAGGGGAGGATGGCTCATAATAATGGCTGGAACGGAGCGAATGGAATGGCATCAAACCATGTGTTTTATGTATTCCACTCTAGCTCTTATCATGAGCCCATCCTCCCCAATGAAGGTGCCACCAACCTCCTGTGGTGGACACCTAAACCTATAGCCCTTGCATGCAATGTCCTGATACATTTAGTGATCAAATCTCTGAAAGCTGAACCGTGAGGTGGACAATTATTGTTTTAGGAAAGTAGCAAAACAGAATAATAACATGCTACACATTGAAACACAAGGAATATTGTTTTTGTCATTTGTTATAGGCTGTTTAAGGACACGTAAATGTGTCTCATTTGGCCAACATCCATTGTTTATTGATGGCGCTGGCTGCACCAGGTTGGCTCTGAATGCATATGGATGTCCATAGAATTTCTCAAATGTCCGGTAAATTAAAATGTTCCCTGTCATGTTGTCCGGCGCCAAATTTTCCTAGAGGACACTTTGAAATGGCATATTGTTTATGAAGATTTTAGAATATTCACATGAAATGCTGTCGCCAATTGGATGGAAACCTAGCTATAGGCACCCTAAAGACTCTGGCAAGTGCGCTAGTCCAGTGTCACTTTGATTATGCCTCCACATCATGGTTCACCAGCAGCCCCAAACATCTAAAGAATAAGCTACCAGCTAAACAAGCTTTTAAGAATTGTACTTAACCTCCCACCCAGACTCATCTGGAGGTGGAGCATTGTTTCATCTCTATCTCTGTAATGTGTCTGTATCTATGTAATTGTTTATGTATTTATGTAAAAAATTGGGGAACACAATGGAAATAAGTCCCCGACTTTATTGTGCAATCCCAGTCACTTTAAAACATATTTAATGTATATATGTATTTTTTTAACTGACAAATAAAATCAATCAATCCAAACTGTGCAGCGGTCAATTGATGAATTGAAAGAGACATCTGTTACAAAACACCAAAAAGTTTAATGACATTCGGAGATTGTCAAGCCAAGCCTTCAATACTTGGTAAGCCTACAAGGTAGGGAGGGATGTATTTTCTGTTTGTCGAGGTTGACAGACTATTTATTGTGGTGTTGAAAACGCAAACCATGATATTGAAGTGCCCGAAGTTGGTATGCTTTGTTTATTGGTTGTGTGGTGGATTGGCACAGAAACCTGTTGGTGGAATTTTCATTTACATATATTTGACATAATTATAAATAGTCATCAAAATTGTGAAAATCTGATTTCCCCCTAGCTGATCATTGTCTGCAGCCGGCTCTGATCGTAGTGTAATAAAACAGGCAGGGAGAGTGAGCTCGTCCGTGGTGGTCGGCGAACCCTCAACCTTCTGGCCTGTAGCCCTGCGTGGCATCGGCTGTGCCACAAAAGCATGCTGAAGTGGCAAAGTCGATATCCATGTTTATAAACACAGGGTTGCTACAGTTATTGTTATTTGTGGTCATAAACATTATTTTTAGTTAATTCTACGAGGGAGGAGGGTGTTCAATTTGGGGGGGGGGGGGGGACATTTCTTTTATGACACCTTGAGTTGTACCAGCCCCTCCTCCCCCCCAGTAAATTTCAATCTGTCCCTAAAAGGGGAGTGGGAATCCTTTTCATGTTAGGATGAAGCATTAGCTGACTAATAACCTCAACTTCTGTGCATCTCTGTTAATGTGCATCCATACCAGTCTTCCATACAGGGATGAAAAACATGAGTGGATTGTTTGGTTAGCCTAATTGTTAGAACTGACTGAAACAAAGGTTACCAGCACCTTCCAGCAAAATGTTCTGTCTGTGTGTGGTGTGGTGTGTGTTCTGTTGGGACCACAAGAGGGAAGTAGCCAACCCCAAAAGACCAAGGTCTGTTCAGGACATACAGAACAAGGTATGCAGCATCAGTATAACTCTAGAGCAAATAGTTGAGCATTTTTTGTCCGCTAATACAGGACTAGTAAAAGGTCCAGTGCACTACTTTAGTGATATATTTTATATATATATATATATTTTTTACAAATCTGCACCCTCAACACCCCTACTTCCCACAGCTATGCTGCCTCATCCAGTAAATGATATAAATAAATTAAGATTCCTTATTACACACCATCACTATGCATCAGAGGAAATCAGCAGGCTTCAACCCTAAATGAATGGGTATGGGAAAGATTGACAGCATCTAATTATATTTTTAGACGCCTTTTGTCCTGATGATGAATTATGCTGTATGCTGCACACCAGCGGTCTGTGAGTGGGAGGTGAGATGAGAAAGACCGGGGCCAAGGAAAGAGAAGAGAGAATTGGAAAAGGCATTTTAGGGTCTAAAGCCAGATACACACTCGGAAAGAGATAGTATCGATAGTTGCACCGTATTGAAATCCAATACATGTACTGTAGACTATCAGCCCCCAAGGCAGCGAGAGAGAGCGAAAGGTAGAGAGAATGAATCTTCTCCAACATCGTTTTATAGACTCTCTGCAGAACTGTGGACTATTGCAGCTGCGTTATGAGATAGCACTAGAACAGACTAGCAGGGGACTATGTGGGAATGGAAGGCTCAATCAACAGTCAGTTGGAGCCCAGGGAGAACAACTTCATGCTGTCACCAAGGCCAGCATCTTTCCTGACCCCCTTCCAGCTGGGACAGACTACTACCATGCCCTTCAAATGGTGGGAATATGACCCCCTCTACACACCCTGGTCCTCCCCCCAGTAAAAATCAGCAGTGCAGTTAGTAAACATTACAAGAGGGAGGGGAGGGGGGGGGGGGGGGTCACACGGTCTACTGTACTGACATTGACCGGCAGACACATAAAATGAGATGAGGGAGAGAGAAAAATTGAGAGACAGAGAGAAAAAGAGAGAGAGCTGGGAGCAGCTTTCCTACTGAATGAGTGATGCAGAGACCTTGAGCTGACCCTGTGTTTGACAGCTGACCCTGTGTTTGACAGCTGTTTAGAAGTCTGGCTGTTATTCACAGGCTCCAGCCCTGTCAGCATAATGCAGGTTTGAACAGCATCAATGGCTCTGAATGCTCAGGGGACCATCATAAACAACAACAATATAATTGATTAAGAAGAGCGTTGTTGTCAGTGGAGATGTTAAAGCTATGGGGTATATTAAACACTGTTGACATCTTGTGGCTGAACAGGTGAATTGCAAACAGTTTCACTATTGTTTTGATAAAGGAGGTGCACACCTAGGTCATTGTTTATTGTTAATGTGTCAAGTGTAATATTCCTGTAAAAAAATAGTAATACAACCATATAAATCCTAAATATCAACTTTATTGATAAAGTAAGTCTCTCAGTTTATGATCTTGCCTATTATATTTCACATCTATCTTTCAGACAAATTAGTTAGGAAATAGGGACGAAGAACAACCTCTTCCAAGTAAGTCAGTTGTCACAGATAACTGAGGTCAATCATTCAGGAACAGTAACTGAAAACTTGAGTCCTCTTAATACAATTCCTGTGTAGATGTGTGTTTTGATGTGGGTCATGGTTTTCTGGTGCAGTACCCAGACTAGAAGAGTTTTAGGGCTGGGTCAGAACTCAGATACAGGCTCCATGTTAATGTGACTCACTTTCCCTCATGTGTGGCCCAATCACTGTACCCCCCCTGGTAGTGCCGAGCCCTAGGAGAGAGAAGGGGAGGAGAGAGAGGGAGGAGGAGAGAGAGGGGGGAGGAGAGATAAGGGGGAGGGGGAAGGAGAGAAAAGGGGGAGGGGGAGGAGAGAAAAGGGGGAGGGGGAGGAGAGAGAGAGAGAGAGGGAGGGAGAGGGAGAGGGGGAGAGATCTTTCAGGTGTCTTTCAGTATGTGTATATGATAATACTGTATGTCCACACTAATGTACCCTAATAAGGTATACCAGGTGAGTTAAAGTGTGTTATACCTGTTGAAGCCCAGTTGCCGGGCGATAGCTAGAGCTATGGCGCTCCTGCGACCCGTCTGGCAGTGGAACACAATGTTGTCGTCATCTTTCCCAGGAACCTTCACCTCGAACAGCAGCTGGAAGTGCTCTGGTGACAGCTTTAGAGATTCCTCCAGCTGGCCCACTGATAGACAGATACACACACACACACACACACGCGCACGCTGAACATTAGTAGAGAGATTGCGTGCATGCACACACACATAAAACACACACTTGTAACAGGTTAATATACCCCAGGATTTGTGTAGTCTACTCACATGGGATGTTTACAGAGTCTGTGATGCGTCCAGCCATGAACTCATCTTGGTTGCGGACATCAAACAGCTGGACGTTGTGACTGGACAACATATTCTTCAACTGCTCGTAGCTCACCACCGAATCTGAGGCACACACACACAACATAACACACTAATGGATTCACTGCCATTCCATCATCATATTCATTGTCCCATCAATCTACATTGTTGTCTGTTGTAAGAACCTTGATAAACCTGGACTCACCATACATTGCTTGAAAGAAAGACTCGTAAACCAGGAACAATTTCAGCCAAAAGGATCCTAATGATGGAATTCAGTTAAACTAAACTGTTCAGGACAGATTTGACTAATAGTGGATGGTAGGCAGGCTGTGAGTTCCACAGGTTGACTATAGTGCTGGACCCCCAAACACAGTCTATTGTTGAAAAGTTTGAATAAGCCTATGAATGAATGACTTGAACCAGGCCCAATCACAAACGGCATGGCAGCAGATCCATTCACACACACACTTTACTGGGAAGTGCTGATTACCTTTTTTTCAGTCAGTTCTAACATCTAGGCTAACCAACCAATCCACTCTCATCAGCCATTATAATTATTTTTTGCTACTCTAAGTGAGCATTTGAAAGTAAGAGCATGTTATGGAGCATGTTATGGAGCCAGTCACATAAGGCTACAGCAGAAATGCTGCAATTAAATAGCCATTAACTAGTTTCTTTAAAGGGGAAATCTGCCGTTCAAACGACCACAAAGCGGACACCCCGCCACTGTATTGGTAAAGAGCTGAGGAATGGGGCTGGATAAATGTCACCGCTCTCAAATTCTTGGACAGAGCTATGGATGCAAGGACTGATCAACCATGAGATCAACATTATAGTTTTAACAGTGTTTGTTTACAATTACATTACAAATAATGGAGCTTATATTTTGCGTTCTGATTGGGCTTGACAGTTGTATGGGGTATGACTAAGTTCATGAGGCATTTCTAAGTTATATTCTTCAACAATCAATGGGCAGTGCTTAATTTGTAAATCGGGAGGTGCCGGAACAAAAAGTGAGCTCGAGAGGGGGGTGACCTGAGGAGCTCTGGTGGTAAAGGAACGCATTAAAAAAAAAGTATTCGCATTTGCATAGTGGCATAGAGCACTGAGCAGTAGAGTAGAGGCACTTATAAGTTCCACATGTGGAAAATGTTTAGTAGCCTAGGGTCCAGATTTTTTTGGGTTTAATTCAAAATGATCTTCTGTGACCAATTTTTACTAGATCCCTGCCTGAGCCCTACCCAGGCCTGCAACGTTAAGGCCCTACCCTACCCAGGCCTGCGACATCAAGGCCCTACCCCACCCATGCCTGCGACTTTAAGGCCCTACCCTACCCATGCCTGCAACGTTAAGGCCCTACCCTACCCAGGCCTGGGACGTTAAGGCCCTACCCTACCCAGGCCTGTGACGTTAAGGCCCTACCCTACCCAGGCCTGCGACGTTAAGGCCCTACCCTACCCAGGCCTGCGACGTTAAGGCCCTACCCTACCCAGGCCTGCGACGTTAAGGCCCTACCCTACCCAGGCCCGATTGCTTCTGCCCGAAACACAAAATTATAAATAACTTCCTCTGTTAGTAGGCCTAAATCCATTAGCTGCTCCTCTATGTGAGTCACCCGCTCCCTACGCGCTGCTCGCTCTGCATGCGCTCTGCTCATGGCGGCTCTGTGTGAGTATAGCAACAGCTCTGCTTGGGCTCAATGACGAGACATGAGAGCACAGAGCATGGCTGTTAGCTGCTTTTCGTCTCTCTAAACTCAGACAAAACATTATTATTTTCTGTGAAATAATCTCTCCTGTTTTATATTTGACGAGGTTGAAGCCCTTTTGACACCTACGTGTTAAACAAGGTTCAATCCACACACCACCCACTCCACCCAGTTAGAGAGAGGGGAATCTTGGGAGTTGTTGGAATTGACTTAAATGGCCAATTGGGAACATCAGGACTGATCAGGATATTCAAAGCTAGATATCTAGACTCATAGTTTTAAAACATTTTTTTTTGTGAATGTGTCTACTATGGACTACTGAAAACAACAAAACCACTGTATTACATGGGTAAAATAGCCCTTTAACCTGTATATGCAGGGGCGCAACTGTCACTGGGGACGGGGGGATGGGGGACGGGGGGGACAGGAACATGTCCCCCCCACATTCTGAAATTGCATTTTTGTCCTCCCCCAGTTTTAACATTGGACTGTGATACAAAACGAGGCCACGGTGTGCTTTAGGACCATGCGGACGCCTCCGAGCGGTCGGGTAGGCTGTTTGGACTGTTTATCTGACTGATTTAAATAATAATAATAATTATTATTATTATTATGTCCCCCCCCACTTCTAAAACCAAAGTTGCACCCGTGTATATGTATGTAGGTGTGTCTTTCGGAGGGGTTGGGTTAAAAGTGGAAGACACATTTTGGTTGGACCTTGTGTGCAACTGACCAATAAAATTATCTTAATCTTTAGCAGAATATATTTTTATACCGCAAAAAAAAAAATCTAAATGACAGGATAGGCCTACTTTGACGCTGACAAACTAAGAATCTGAGATCAATAAAAACAACCTGGTCTTGAATCGATCAATAGCACAGGCCTAGGTGTGTGGAGACACATATTGTACAATATGAGGAGGAAATTATAGTCCTAAAGAAGCTTTCCAGTTTCACTGACTCACCCAATGATGCGCAGCTCACTCACCAGCGATGGACGATATTCTCGTGCCAAAAGCCTATCTCTCTTGTTTAACTTTGTAAAACAATGCTGTTCGCTCAATAGGCCTATTTGAAAGGTGATAAAATAGCCTGCAGATAGATTAAAGTCTTCCCTTTGATCAGCAGGAGCCATTTGCTTTCCAACCTGTGTTTTCCTGCGATTGTATTTTAAATATTGTGAAAGGCCTGTTTTGGCGGCATGCTGTTCACTGACAGATTTGCAACGAGTTCCCGACTGTACGCTATGCCTTGCGATTGGGCTAAACAAAATCAACAGCTAGGATCCTCTGTGGCTAAATTAAAGACCTACTCCTGGTGTAGTATTCTGAATTGTTTCATTTCTTTCTGAACAGACAGCAGTAACTCTATAACTTTGTCAAATGTATTTCAATGTATCAAGGGTGCTGCAGTTCCTCCAGAAGCCTTCATGCAGCTATGATTCTATAAGGAAATACATGATGAAGTGCAACGCTGGAGAGATGAGAGTTGCAGGCTCATGTCTATCAGAGCAGATGGAGAGAGATCATAGAAAGTGAAACTCATCCTAGTTCTGTTCGAGACACAGGCGCACTTCTATCTCCAACGTGGTCTCAGAGCATTTTGTATTATTCTGTAGGCTACCTAAATCCGAGACACTCCATTTAGCATGATATGTTACGTATGGTATGATTTAATTTGTGGATGGCCATCATCCATTTAGTATGATATGTTACGTATAGTATGATTTAATTTATGGATGGCCATCATCCATTTCGTATGATATGTTACGAATTACAATTCTGCTATCTCTCACCACACCATTGGCCAGTTGGCCATGTGTTGGTCTCAAACATAGGCTACAATGTTGCGCAAACCATAAACCCAGGCCTCCCAACCTGAATAAATTCTTAGAATATCAGGCAGGGGCTGAAAATCTATGCTTTCAAATTACATTTTTTTAGGGGGCAGGAGATTTTACGAGAAGGCACCTCCAATGGACTGTGATTACTTTTATTATAATTTTTACATTGCAGTGAAAATTAATCAATAGGTTCTGGAACGACACAGTCCAATACAGAGTTACATATTGCAGCTTTAATTTAACTTTTTGGGCTACCAGACCAAATTCACATAGAAATATGAGTTATAGGTATGTCATTCTCATTGAAAGCCAGTATAAGAAGCGGTAGATATGTTCTATGTGCGCTATTTATATACTTCCCGTTCTTAAGTTTCGTTTTTTCATATTTTTCTTTCGGGTTTGTACACTAGCTTCAAGCAGCTGAATATACAATAGTTTTGGTTATGGAAAATATATTTCACAGCGGTTTCAATGGTGCAATGATTCTCTACACTATACTTGCTTGTTTTGTCACATAAACTGAAATTAGGCTAACTATTAGTATTTTAGCAACCAGGAAATGGCGGAGAGATTTCTGCATAGTGCATACATTTTAAGCACTGTCAATGGGTAGGCTATATATAATTAATTCAAAAGTCCAAAATGGATGTATCAATTGAAAATGTTAGTATGATATGTTACGTATGGTATGAATTAATTTGAGGATGGCCATCATCTATTTCATATGATATGTTACGAATTACAATTCTGCAGTATGAAAAATGTATGCACTAACTAAAACTGTAAATTGCTCTGGATAAGAGCGTCTGCTAAATGACTAAAATGTAATGTAAATACTATCTCTCACCACAGCATTGGCCTGTGTTGGTCTCAATCATAATGTTGCGCAAACCATATGATGACATTGGTAACACATATGCATATTAGTTAATACACGGGCAGTCACATTGAACAACAACTAGGTCTATGTTGGATTCATGTTGAAGAACTGATTAACCAAATTGATAGGCCTCAAAAGGACCGGTGACCGTGACAGGTGGAAGTATTATAGCCTACCGGGGTTGGACTCGCTGAATCTGGTCGTTGACGTCGTGAAACCACACCATTGGCCTCTCGTACCGAGCGAAACCCGGCTGCTGGTTTCGGCAACGGTCAGTAATGTTCTCCGTAACAGCAGACCGGACACCATGTTGACCATAGACTGGCTCCCGTTGTCAGCAAAGGAACAAATTACTTTGTATCATACGATATTTACTTTCTGCCCTCTGCCGACAAATTCGTGTTAACAATGTTTCAAGAGTGCACGTACCCTAACCACTGTTAAAGTGATAAGGAATTAGACCATGCCTATCTCGAGTCGCATTATCGAGAAAGATAAGAAATGGGCTATTGTGTCAATTTATGAGTTCCAAGAATGAGAACGTTAGTGAATGGGCGCGTTCGAGCAGATCACTTTTGTCAAGTAGGTAACCATCGTTGGTCACTGCCTTTCAAAGTGTGTTACATTCCGGGAATAAAAATGGTCTGACTTGCACCTACATGTCGACTGCATGAACTTTACAAAAAAACTGTGATTTTTTTTTACATTTTAGCAGACGCTCTTATCCAGAGAGACTTACAGTTAGTGAGTGCATACATTTTTCATACTGGTCCCCCGTGGGAAACGAACCCACAACCCTGGCGTTGCAAGCGCCATGCTCTACCAACTGAGCTACAGGGGACTGTGATCAAAGGTCATGAAGTTTTTTACTGCAAGTTTCTGCAGCTGTTCTTCACCAACTTCATCCTGCAGCCATCGCCTGCATTGTGGGAGGCTCTATTGTTAACTAATTATTAGGGTATTTTTGTTTGACCCATACGAACGTGACCAAAGACAAGCTAGACATCTCACTGGCTAATTTGTTTCTGGTCAGGCGGGGCACGAGAGAGGGAACGCCCAGAAGAGAAATTCCCATCTCGCGTGGACTAATAAAGTGTATTTTATCTTATCTTACACAGAAAGGAACCTTGACCATTATTATGGTTTAGCCTATTTTACAATCAATATGTTGAGTTCCAGTGCAGTGCATGGGAATTATTTACATTGGAGTACAAAACAAAAAATGCCAAACTTGGCTTGGGCCCTAAAAAGTTACATAGGCCTACTTCCACATCAGCGGTTTCAGTGGTCTGCCAGTGTGCTTACTGATAGTTTGTCGGGACTGATGGTTTGTTTATTTAGCAGGTTAGGATAATTAACGTGACAGGTTAGGATCATTAATATGACAGGTTAGGAGAATTCATGTGGCACGTTAGGATCATTAACGTGACAGGTTAGGATAATTAACGTGACAGGTTTAGGATAATTAACGTGGCAGGTTAGGATAATTAAAGTATCAGTGTAGGAGAATTAACGTAGAAGATTAGGAGAATGAGGTTAGAAAAAAGGGTTAGTGTTAGGCTTAGCTAAAATGCTACAGTTGTCAACAACTGTTGTCCCCGACATGACAACTTGATGGAGCTGTACTAAATCTAGCCTCAACCATAGAAACCATCAGTCCCGACAGACCAACTGTATCACAACACCGGCATGATGTAGGCCTAACTGAGATGAACATGAACGGAAATGACTTGTGTATGGGCCTATATACAGGGGTGCACATAACTTTTTCAGTGAGTTACTCAGGTGAGTACCAGCAGATGGTGTCTGGTACTCACCCCATATGTAGCGTGGTCTTAATAAGTGCAGTCTTCTTCACTGTCCTCCTCAGTGCCGCCACCACTGTCCTCCTCAGTGCCGCCACCACTGTCCTCCTCAGTGCCGCCACCACTGTCCTCCTCAGTGCCGCCACCACTGTCCTCCTCAGTGTCGCCCCCACTGTCCTCCTCAGTGCCGCCACCACTGTCCTCCTCAGTGCCGCCACCACTGTCCTCCTCAGTGTCGTCCCCCACTGTCCTCTGCTTCAGCTTCCTGCATGGTAGATGATGAAGATGCTGTAGATGCACCTCCCTGTCCTTGGTTGAGCCTCCGATTAGCTGTCTCCATCCACAGGTCAACAGCAGGCTTTGGGTCAAATATCTCTGTGGTCTGCTTTGACAGGTGAATGTGCATCAGGGCTGAGAGACGAGCATGTGACAGACGAGATCTGTACTTGGTTTTTATTATGTTGAGATGTGAGAATCCCCTCTCACAAGCTGCACTGCTTAAAGGCAGTGTAAGAGACAGCTTAACCACCTTGTTGATGTTGGAGTAAGCATCTGGGTTACTTGTATTTACTATTTGGACCAAGTCATACACAGAAGAGGCTCCCAGGCGTTTTCCTGCCTGCTTTAAGCGCATCTATTCTGTCACAGTGGTATCTTTGTCAAGTTGCAAGGTGGCCTCATATTTCTTGAGAATGCTGCAAACTGTTGTGTTTCCAAAACTGTGGAGGTCTTGCATTTCCTGAGGCCATGTTGAAGGATCAAATACTAAGAAATGATCACATGACTTGAGGGAGTCATATCTGATTTCAAACTCTTCAATTAACCCCCTGAGTAAGTGGGTCTTGTCTCTGTCAGCATCAGCATTGGAAACAGTGTGTGCCCTGTGGCTTTCACCATCAAGCAGAAGTGTGAACTGTCCAATGGCCACCATGAGTTCATCCTTACATTCTCCAATGGTCAGCTTTTCCTTCATAAACCTAATGGATGTGGTCTTCAAAATGTTGCAAATGTCAAGCATGTTTGACAGAAAACACTGAAAACGCTCTGTGCAGATATGCTGCAAGTCACTGTTATCACTCGTAACCAGTTGCATTTTAATGGCTGGCAATAGGCTTGATATTTTTAACAGTGTTTCATGCCTCCATGCAGACCATCTGATATTATGAAACTTACCCAGTTTCACAAAGGAGATCCCATTTTCTTCACATAGCTTATTCAGTGCAGCAGTTTTTTTTCTCCACCTTTTTGTAAATAAAACTGCAGCAGCTTGACCACAGAGCGATTAAATGTCTCACAGTAAGGAACGTTGCGATCAGCTGATTTCGCGCAATTCTCCAGTGTGTGTGCGGTGCACAGAATGTGCACAAGGGAGTCTCCAACCGCAGCAAGTTGCCGGAGTTTTGGCACAACGCCGTTGTAGATACCTACGTTGACAGCAGCCCCATCTGTGCACACAGCGACCAACTTTGTTGTCCAGTCATCCAAGCCTGTGTCCTGGAAAAGTCTCACAAGTCCGTCTGTTATGGCCTGCGCGATTCGGTCAGCACCCAATTCAATCAGTCCAATAAAGTCCGAGGTAAACTCTCCGTTGCTGGACACAGACACAATGTAAACGATTTCCTGCTCAGTTTTTGTGATGTCCTCAGATCCATCAAAAAGCAGCCCCCAAAAATTCAGCAGACTGCAACTTGGCTCGTAACTCCCCGCTGATGGTGTGAGCGATGCTCTGCATGATCCGTGTGCCCCCTTCACGTGAATGATATACACCTCCGACATTTACTCCTAGCTGCTTCAGTAAAGGAACATCCTCAGAATAGGAAGACATGGGACGTGCGTGTTTAGCTTTATGGAAGGCGAGGAGAAAAATATTAAACTTGTCTCGCCACTGGCAAGTGGGCGACTGGACATTTCTTCTCGGCTAGCTTGTTTAGCAATGGCTTGCGCCACATTCGTGTGCTCCTTGCTCTTTTCATGTTTGTCAAATAAAGGATGGTTGAAATTCTTTGAGCCTTTATAAAATGCACCTGTTTTGTCTGCTAGATGTGGATTTGAGCGGCAAATCTTGCACCACATTTCAGTGCGCTCCTCGTTAGCTTCAAGCCACTGCACATCTTGGAGCCACTTCTCCGAAAAAAGTATTTTCTTCGGCTCTGCCTCCAGTTGGCGTTTCGTTGTAGGTGGCGAAACGCCAAAGAAGCTGCTGTTGCTTTTTGGACATCCCTGACAGTAGTTGACAAGCAACATGTCAGGTTAGATGAGAAGATCGGTCAAGTACGGAAAGGCGCGTAGTAACACAAGTGACATTACGCATTCCTGATTTTTGTCGCGCTTGCGTACCTGCGTACCAGTTATGTGCACCCCTGCATATGTATGCTGGTGCATCTATAGGCTAGGCGAGGGCTCAGCCCTGTGACAATATGCATATTCATTTATACATTCATAGGTACACACATATACAGATGATGATACGTTTTACAGTATTAAAAACTGGATTAGAAAATAATGTCAACTTGAATTTTGCGATGTCCCTATCATGTTCTGTGTGGCTCACTCCGGCAGAGACAACAAAACACACACACACACCTGGCACAGCTTCTGGCACAGTTATCAGCGAATGAGTGGGAGCTTGCGCAGAGGAAAGGGAGAGTGAGAGAGTTAAAACACTGTATATAGACATAATATGACATTTGAAATGTCTTTATTCTTTTGGAACTTTTGTGAGTGTAATGTTTACTGTTAATTTTTTATTTTTTATTTCACTTTTGTTTATTATCTATTTCACTTGCTTTGGCAATGTAAACATATGTTTCCCATGCCAATAAAGCCCCTTAAATTGAATTGAATTGAATTGAGAAAGAGAGCGAGAGAGCAAGAGAGAGGGGGAGAGAGAGCTGCAACCAGATGAGGGCAGCAGAGGACAACAAATGAACCATAAACAGATAAATAAAATGTTGGCCTTGAAATATTTTATTGAAATAATGTACAATTCCATTCATTCCTATGGAGGACTGCTCCTTCTGAGGAGTACCAATATGGCGTCCGGTGGCTTCAAAGCCTCTGATTGGCCAATACATAGCATCAGCAATCCAGGGTTTATACATTGAACAAAAATATAAACGCAACATGTAAAGTGTTGGTCCGATGTTTTCACGAGCTGAAATATCCTATACATTTTCCATACGCACAAAAAGCTTATTTCTCTCAAATCTGACGAACACATTTGTTTACATCCCTGTTAGTGAGCATTTCTCCTTTGCCAAGATAATCCATCCACCTGACAGGTGTGGCAAATCAAGAAACGGATTAAACAGCATGATCATTACACAGGTGCACCTTCTGCTGGGGACAATAAAAGGCCACTAAAATGTGCAGTTTTGTCACACAACACAATGCCACAGATGTCTCAAGTTTTGAGGGAGCGTGCAATTGGCACGCTGACTGCAGGAATGTCCACCAGAGCTGTTGCCAGAGAATTGAATGTTAATTTCTCTACCATAAGCCGCCTCCAACGTCATTTTTGAGAATTTGGCAGTATGTCCAACCGGCCTCACAACCGCAGACCACGTGTAACCACGCCAGCCCAGGACCTCCACATCCGGCTTTTTCACCTGCAGGATCGTCTGAGACCATCACAAGGACAGCTGATGAAACTGTGGATTTGCACAACCAAAGAATTTCTGCACAAACTGTCAGAAACTGTCTCAGGGAAGCTCATCTGTGTGCTCGTC